AAAATACAGAACAATACAATGAAATGCAAAAATCCATCATTTCCTCGGATGAAGCTCTCTGTGCAAGTTCATGAGGCTGTTAATGTGAATAAATTATTCGTTAATTTTTTGCTTATTTCCAGGTATGCATGTGTGCATTTTGTGCTGAACATTACATGTTTGAAGTATTCTCGGTGTTATAGAGGCGGGAATTGGGTCCCTTCAGGGAGGAGTCGCTGAGGGTTCGGGTTTTGACATTCCTTCCCAGAAAACTCCAGTCTTCTAACTCTTTGCATTATCACGAAGCTAATCGGAGAAATTTTGCTCCAGAAGGACTCAAGACGAAGGGTTCTTGTCGGAGGTAACTTTTGCTTCGTTGGCAACGTCGGCGGACCTTCGCCACTTCACGAGGGACATAAGTCGCAAAATGGTTATCTCTTACAACGTATGACTTCGGCATACATGACGACAAAGGAAGTTCCCATTCCTCTTAGAGCTTTTTTCTATGGTATTCTTATCAAGGTATTTAAAGTCGGAGTCTCTTCCACCTGTGTTGACCAATTTTGCGAGGTTATCCAAGCTAGCTCTCATTCGAAAAGAGCAGTTTCCCTCCCGCGTTTTCTTTCACCGCTCCGGAAAATTAGGCAGGGGTGACTAGGAGTTCGTAAAGAACTTCCAACCTCTGACACGAAGTTCTTCCGTGGATATTTCTCCCCCAGTCCAATCATGTCTAGCTGCTTATTTCAAGAGGGGTATCCGTCTATAAACCCTGGCAAAACCTCCTGTCTCTGGGATAGTGCGAGATCGGCTTGTCGCGATCGCTGCATTTATACGACGAGGACTTCAGCTTCGGGGGAGTTTCATCCTGATTGCCTTTCTGGGCATCCCAAAGACGGTCCAAATCCTCGTGCTATGGCATGCTCTCCCAACCAGCTTCTCGAAACGTAGTAAGCCGCATTCCCCTTTGACATGCTTACTTCCTTATGGCTCTCCTGTGAATGTGGGGTAAACTGGATGACCATTCATGCACTTCCCTTCTGGGATCGGGAATAACCAAGTCTTTATTGAATCTACAGGGTTTTCAGGTGATATGTAACGAGATACAGATCTCTTCACGACTATAAACCTACTTTTCACAGAAGGGCGATATCGGTAAAAAGAGAGACTGCCATAAGGATCATACTCGGTAAGGAGAATTGGGAAGTAAAGTTCGTGCCATGCCCGGGTTGTGATTTGTGTCGGATTCCTACGTTAGGCTCATGTGATCTTAAAATTTGCGAAAGGCACTTTTGTGGCCCAATTGAATCAAAAGGGTTGTGTCTCCGTCGCCCAGTTTGGCAAAGGTGCAGACGACATTTGAAGGTTCATTTTCACTGCCCTTTTCATTGCTAGGACTTATCTGGGTTATCTCCCTTTTCAACTAAAACAAATCACAGGTAGCAAGGAGGAACTGTATTCACTGCTCACCAAGTACACAGACATGTTCTCGTGGGTGGAGGTG